AGGAAAAGCTCTAGTACTAGAATTCAGTAGGGGAAATGAGGGAAATATTTCACCCTCATACCTGAGTAAATGGTTGTTTTCTATTTTGGCTTCACACTGCTTCATACCCAAAAAGATGCAAGCCACATGGAGTTAAACAAGAAGATGGAAGCCTACTTTACAGTTAATAGGATCCTCTTTTATGCTCCTTTTTATGCAAAATTGTGAATAGTGGATAGGAAGGGAGATTTTTTTTTCTTGAATGACTACTTTACAGTTATAAAGAAAAAGGATATTACAATCTTTAAAACTGTTATCTTTCTTCTTTTTTCCATCCCTTATCCAAATAAAAATTATATATATTATCTTCCAATTTGATAAAATATCTTAGCTTCATTGGTGCCACTCCATACCATCCCTAAAAAAAGTGAACCTTAAGTTCCGTTCCATTCCATTATATGCATCATGTTCCTTAACCTCTCCCACTACTTCTAAACAGACCCTTAGTCCACAACAAAAGAAAACAACAGAACCCCATGCCAGCGTTCAACATTTTCAGCGAAGTTAAAAGTCATTCTAATTCATGAGAGAAACACAGTTTGTCAACATAATAAAAGTTAGCAACGTAAAGTGATGGAGGAATCGGCTTCCACCAGCTTACTTGACTCTTGAATTTAAAGTACGAATTAATTGCACATATTTCATCAACGAGATGAAATACACAATATGGTAAAAAAGCGCAAAAGGTAAGCTTTTTTCAATAATTACAAAACGCTATTAGAACATACAGTGAAATAGATGTTTGGCAAGAGTATCATTGGGCATGTACTCCGCCACAAGCAATCTCTCGTCACCATCGCAGCAGTACCCTATCAAATTCGCCAGCCTTTTGTGCCTCAACTTCCCTACACCCAATGCCTCGTCCTATAAAAGAATAGACATTATTAAGGAAGATCGTACTCGGAAAAATAAAAAAAAACCCTAGAAATTGAAACCAGAAAAAGAAAATTTTGAAAATGAAGAGCATACAGCGAATTGTTTTGGATCAGGCCAAGCCAATTTCGCGAACTTTTTAACGGCGATCCACCGGCGATTATTCTGGTCCTGGAGACGGCCCTTGTATACCAAATTAGGCGCTTTCTCTCCACTTTCGGAGACGATAAAATCTGCGCTGAAGTTGTTGGTGGCGGCTTTAAGTTCGGCAAGGGAGAACTGGGAGAAATCCGGCACGGCGAGGGCTTCGCCGGGTGTTCCGAGGCCGGAACCGGCGGTGGGTTGGGTTCCGTTAGAGGGTGGGTGGCGGTGGGTGGTGTGGAGCTGAACGTGGGTGGTGTGATTGGTATTATGAAGATTGTGTTGTTGGTCTTTATCATCACCCGAGTGGGGTTTTGTCAAGAAAGAGGATTGGCAACAGCCCATAACTCGGAATGAGTTGACACGGAGCCCCACCCAAAGTTGCTTTTAGCTAAAAACCATATGCAGATACCTTTTTTTCTCTTTTTATTTGTTAATGGATGAGAGAGAGAAGAAAGAGGTTTTCTGGGTTTTGTGTTTGTGTGTGTGTGTCTGACTGATGAGATTAGAACGTTCGTGTGGGTGGGTGGAGTGAGAG